TTTCTTTTTGCAGATAAGACTAGAATGGAAAGTCCGTAAGTATAATAAACGATAATGCATTTCTTTAAATTTTAATCTTGGGGAAAATCGTTTTTGGGAAATCTTGCGTGATCATAAAGGCAGCCTTGGAGGATCACATGTGAATCCGCCGGGTCACAGACTGAGAAACGATGGATTAGAGTGTTCACCACACCTCCGTTACCAACTAGCTTTATGGGCAAGAATCTAAGACGTATTCAGGCTAGCGTGAGTACAACAGGCGTTATCAAAAGCATGGTGTTTCGAATCCTTACTTGAAATGAGTGAGTAAACCTCTTTACTAAGCTACCAGCTGTAACGCTAAAACGTAATTTCACCTTTGCATTCTAGTAAGAGTATTTTGGGTGCTACTTTGGTAGACGGTTGCACGGATTTTTGGCGATTTACGTTGGCGCAATTGTTGGTGCGATTTTTAAAATCGTCAGCCATCTTGAAAAACGCTGTTTTTAGCATAGTAAAGTATTCGAAACTTAAAAAAAAAATAAATATCGTTAAAAGTAATGGATTAATTTTTTGTTGAAAATGTCGTTTTTTAAGATGGCAGGAAAGTGTAAATAAATACATTTACTATGAGTATAAAATACTAAAGGCTATTATTACTTTTATGTAGCAAAAAAGAGAATAAAAACACCACTATAAAAACATTGTGCCAACGTTTAATTAGATTAAAATATTACTGAAATTGAATATCGAATTTAAAACCATCCTACCAACATTTAAAAGAATTATAATATTATTAAATTCAAATACTTTAAATACGTTAGATAAAATATAATTAACATTAAAACATATGTGACAATAATTATCTCAGCAATTTTTGAAAATAGTGTATTAATTTTTTTAACAAAAATTGAAGTATACAATTATAAAATAAAAGAAAAATATGTACTTGCATTTTTTTTGAGTAATTTAACCTCTTGTTTATTGATAAGTACCACAAAAAAAAAATCGAAATCATAATTGAATTGGCTCTTTTAACCATCTTCATCTGTTATCCACATATCTCGCACTTCATTGAAGAAGCAATTAGCGAGGTTTCCTCCAAAAATTTAAAATACATTTCCTCTGACGCTATTAACAATTTATAAATAAATCTTTGATTAGGAAAGACAGGTTGGCCAAAATAAGGTCTCAAAGGGCATTTTTTTTATTCCAATACCAATAATTCTTGGTAATTACCAATAACAACATTCATCTTTGAAACAGAGATATCCATTCCATTTGAAATCTGACGAATTCGAAGAGATGAATAATAAAATTTTAAAATGGCGCGGTAATGCACAAATATTGAGTAACCAATCAGGGAGCTGATTACATCACGCATAGAATAAAAAAAAAAAAATTATTTAAATAATCATTCATAATAAAAATCATTTTTAAAACAAATGCAAAAATTGTATTTTAATATTTAACAGCCATAAATAATGTTTAAAACATTAGATTAAATTTATAGGTATTAATAAAACCAAATTACTTTTTAAGTAAGGTGACCTCATTGATTACACCATCAACAACATAAAATTATATAAAAATATTATAACAACAAAATTTTTATTTCAAATGAAAATTAAATTGATTTTTAATATTTAGAAGCCATAAATAATATTTAAAACACGGAAGTTATGCATAATAAAACGCATTATTTTTTAATAAAATGACAACAAAATATCGGTTACCATAAATAACTTATCCAGCAATGGGTTTACCATAAGTTGTATTACTCGCCAAAAGAAAAATCGCCAAAAAATCGCCAAAACCCGTGCAACCGTCTACCAAAGTAGCACCGTATTTTGCTGAGTTCGGATAGAATGGCTATCCGAAATAAACTTTTACGAATGATCCGTTTTACGAAAATCATTTCTATATGCACGTGATTACTTCCAACTTCTAACTTCTTATTTTAATCGTCTGTCTTAGAATTTACCTAACAACATAACCAAAAACAAAACAGAAACAACAAAATTTAACAGCTTTTCAGTTAGCGTCAACATACGTTCAGTCAACACACTTCTGTTTCAACTTTTATACATCCTCAAAAACTTCTTGCTTCATACAATGCTGCGTATTTATGCAATCGCCAGCCAGTTGATCCACCTATCTCATACGTCATTCTGCGACAACAATAAATTTTCACTACTAGGGGCAGACTTCCATAACCTTTCAATTTTATCTCTGATACTCAATTTTAAGAACTTCAGTATAATCATAATCTCTAGGTTGAATCTAATTAGCAGATTTGTTCCTAATTATTCAATAGCAAAGCCTTGTGTATCGTTGCGGTTGTCTTTAATTATTTATCAAAATATAAAACAATACTAACTTACATAAGATCGACTATAGCATTTTTCGGTACTTTTCCGTTTTGCCGGCGCAAGCAATAAAGTCGCCAATAATGGTACAACCGATGCCAAACGGAATATTCTCGCTGGTAACCTTTTACGCCTCATTTTCAAAACAAGTCGCAGCTTTTTCTTATCAGATTGATTGTTTCTTTCAATACTGGCATATAATTACATAGAATTTTTATCAGATAGTTCAGTTTTATGTCTAAAACCATTTTCGGTAATTAGGTCAATTAGGATGCAATCACAGCGCTTACCCGAAGCCGAAAATATAGAAAAGAAATGTCAAGGGTTAAATTCATCAATTCTAATGAGAATGCATTAGCGAAGTAAAGCACTGCAGTTTTACATAATTTCTGAGTAAGCTATTCGTACGAATTGAAATATTTCTTGCATTTAACTTGTGTTCCAAATAAAGATTTAACTTGAAATTAATGTAGATAATTACTGAGAGCATTAGATTTTTGTGGAGTAGTTTAACTGAGATGAGATCGCTTGGGGTCACGTGATATGAACCGGCGAATCAGGAGGTTGAACCATGAAAGCATATTAAATTTTTAAATTAATGTCTTTTTACAAATTTATTGTCTTTATTTATTGGCTTTTTATAAAATTTTAAGCGATATTAAAATGTTTATGCCTTCAAAAAAAAAAAAAAAAAAAGAATTCTTAGAACTAACATTTTTTAAATATTTTTTATGTGTATACTGTATGTTGTCGCCAATAAAGTCTGCTTGGCGAGATTTGCGCCGGCGAAACGGAAAAGTACCCATTTTTCTTATTCTTCATTTGGATTGAAAATTAAAATTAGCATAAAGGATATAATGTAATATAATGCACGACTGTGCTATAATAACGACTAGCGGGCAAGCCCGCCAGATGAGCCGGCTGTTGCCAAAGCAAAAATTATAAGTTCTACGTAAACCTGAAAAAAAATACATAAAAGCATCTCAGTATGAATGGAACCAGTTCATTCTTTCAAAGCAGTAACCCATTTGTAAATAACGTTTTTGTTGCCAAACCAAGAAACAAAAACTTTTGACACATCATGTTAATACGGATACGTATGACATCATGATTTAAATTTAATGTAATATAACAACTTTTTCTCAATATCAGTAAAGGAATTAACGTGGAAATAACATACCGTGTCAGTTATACTAATGTGAAAAACAAAAGTTGCCAACAGTACTACGTATTTATTTAAAATGCTGACGTTAACGAAAAATTTTCGACATGCAATGACGTCACATGCAATCGCGTGCTTTCTTTAGTGTCAGAATATGAACTTATATAATAATAATAAAATATTTAATGTTTAACAATGCTATTTTTATTTCATAAATTATAAAACTTACAAATGTTCGCTTAACGTAGCTCCACGATTTGAAAGCGAGCAGTGGCAACACGTTTCGAAACAAAGCAGATTTTAGTCTCCAGCATGCGAAACTGTTGCCATACGGAAAAATGAGAGCAAAAATTAGCATTTTTAAAGTTTTTAAATAATATCTCGGCTGATTATAGTCGTACGAAGATGAGAATGGTCGAGATGGCTTCACACGAATTTTTGGAATTCGGTTGTACCTCTCTCAAAAATCAACTCCTCGCCGTTCCGAAGGAGTCCTCGTCTGTAACTGATTTTTCAAACGTTACAAGTGTCTGGTGAAAATGTAAGTAATTTTTGTCACCCAGTTAAGTTATCAAATAAAAATTAAACACCTGCTGCTTTGGAACTTCCTTTAATTTAAGATACAACAATGCAAACTGAGAGTGTGAAGTGTCACCTGATGACGTCTTGTTCATTGGCAAGTACAGGTTGAAGCAAGGCAGTGCATGCAGGCAAACATATTAGCTATCGCCAGGGCTTGCTGACTGCTAAGCTCTCGCTCCGAATGGAATTCCGAAGGAGAAACTCTGGGTGTGGTCCGAGCGTCTCCTAGCGCTTTTTCTCCCACCACCAACCTCTTAAGAGTATTTCGGCTCACCGTATATTTTGAATGCCTCACATACACCGGCGAAACAGCGATGCTTCTGCTAGACTCGAACCCAGGCCTTTCGTTACGGAAGTCAACATCATTAACATCTTTCGTTACGGAATTCAACATCATTACCAACTGAGTGGCGTCATAAGCAGAGCAAATCATATCGGTTACAGTAAACCAATTCCTTTTAAATACCTATTTACAAAGCTTTATTTTTTCTGTTACGTTGCTCAGTATTTGTAATCAAAGTTAGGTTAATTTTTTAAAACTGAAAATAAATGTTGCATAGCAAACTATACATTACATACATGTATTCTAAACAAATAATTTAAAACGCATAGTCAAAGAAGGAAGATTCCATAAAGATATATCGTTTGCAGTTTTCATCATTTCTAACCAATTCTTCTTTGATGACATTTAACCGTGTACTTTAATGATTCCGTGCACGCCAAGGGTAGCAGCTGATGCAACAGATGCATGACAAAGTAAATATAAATCACTGAAATAATTTGATATTGCATCACATATAATATCTCGGTTAAATTTTTCCGTGTTAAATTTTTTGTTGTATTTTAAAAACTGTTAAAGGAACATACGTAGTAGAATGAAGTAATCATTTCTAAGAAGGTACTGCTCGTAACGGCGAAACATCCCCGAATGGTATCGAGAGGAGAAAAATGATTATTTTTATGCATTTCAATTCTAAGCATACTTAATTCTATATATGATAGTTATTTTCAGCAAGAGAAGAGAATAAACAAAGCGTCCAGACAAGTACGATTTTGAATCCCACTGGAAAAATTCGATAGGTTTTATTTTAAGGAAATTATTTTAGTGCAGCTTCTACTTCGAACAGCAGTGAAACTCCTATACACTTGATAGCAGTTCTTTGTGTTAATCCGTAGAAGCTATCAGAAAGTTGAACTTTCTGCATAATCTCGAGGTAAGTAATGTAAATTTTAATATTTCATGTTGTAAACAATAAAAATATAGTTATTTATTTTATAACTATATGAATACTTAAATTATAATATAATAATAAAACTTAGTACATGAAAACGTAGTTTTACTTTGACGAAGTCTTACTTCGATAGCTTTACGATATACTCATTATTTGAAGTATTATTACCCATTCTGAGTTATAACTGTAATACACAACTATGATGAAAGGAATTTAAAAAATTATAAAAATATTATATTGTAGAACATTAAGTAGACAGCAAAAATGAAAGCCGTAACATATGCTACTTTTTAGCTTCTTTCTCTATATACAAAATTTCTTCGAATTATTCCTTTATAGTAGACTAATATGACATAGTCTAGTATGACTAGATAATAATAATAATAATTAATAATAATATTGGGAAATTGAATAATTATTATTATGCATTAATATTATTATGTTAAACATTATTCAACAGACAATAAAACATTATTCTAAAAATTAGAATATTATTTCATTGTAGATTATTGCGCAGACTACAAAAAATGAAAGCCGTAACGTATGTTACTGTTAAGCGAATATAGACTCTATATACAAATATAGTGTGACCATACATATATAGTATACATAAATAAATATACAAATATAGTGTGACCATACATATATAGTGTGACCATATGTTAAATAATAATTATTAATAATATAAACAAACATAATAATAATTACTAATTAATATTATTATTAGAAATATTATTCTAAAATTTATTTATTATAATTAAATATTATTCTAGACAACAAATATTATTTTAAAAATCATTAATAATACAATATTATTCTAAAAATTATAATAATATTTTATTATAGATTATTACGTAGATTTCAAAATGAAAGCCTAACGAATGCTATTTTAAACGTCTTTAGGCACTCTATATAAAAATTACTTCGGATAATTACCCAAATTAAACTAAAATTAGATAGCTAATAGCAATGACCAGATATTAAATGATAATAATAACATTAATAAACATAATAATTATTATTACTAACTAACATTATTATTATGAAATATTATTTTATAGACAATAAAGTAGTATTCTAAAAATTATTTTTAATAGTCAAATTTTTAAAGTCAAGAATTTTAGTCAAGAATAAATCTAGACAGTAAATATTATTCTTAAATTTATATACCGTAAGAGAATATTATTCCGGACTATAATATTATTTCCTTAAGTTATTTCCTTAAGTTAGACTTATATAGATATGACCAGATATTAAAATGATAATAACAACATTAATAAATGTAATAATAATTATTCTACAATACTATTCTAAAAATTATAATAATATTTCATTATAGATTATTACGCAGATTCCAAAAAATGAAAGCCTAACGAATGCTATTTTTAAACGTCTTTAGGCTCTCTATATAAAAATTACTTCGGATAATTACCCAAATTTAGACTAAATTAGATAGACTAGCATGACCCAGATATTAAATGATAATATAACATTATAAATATAATAATTATATTACTAACTAACATTATTATTATGAAATATTATTTTATAGACAATAAAGTAGTATTCTAAAAATTATTTTAATAGTCAAATTTTAAAGTCAAGAATTTTAGTCAAGAATAAATCTAAACAGTAAAATATTATTCTAAAATTTATATACCGTAAGAAAATATTATTCGGACTATAAATATTATTCGAAAAATTAGTTATATTATAAAATACTATTCTAAAAAGACTAATTTTTACTTCCTTGTACGAAGTAAAAAGGAAGTATTGTAATCGCGAAAAGTTTCAGGCAGCATATTTCAACGAAAATATCCATTTTAACCGCTATCGAATGCAATTTAACGATATTTTTGCGTGATATTTGTACGTAAGGGTAGAGTAAAAGACACGTTTCCTCCAAAAAAATTATAAAACTGCTTTAAAATTAATTCTGAAGAGAATTTTTCGTGGCGTCTGTACGAACGTATGTACGTACGTTCGTATTAATAGTTAATTAATAGTACGTATTAATAGTACGTACGTACGTACGTATCTCGCATAACTCAAAAACGAGTAGCCTCAGAACGTTGAAATTTTGTATATAGGACTGCTATAACATGTAGATGTGCACCTCGTATTTTGGTTGCAATCGGCCGCACCAAACGTATATAAATATATTTATATATATATATCCACTCTGTTACGCGGCTCAGTGATCTCGGTTTCTTTACTCTTATATGTTTGTAAATTGTACATTTTTTGCTTTAAAAATGATTGAATTATGCTGTTTTTATCTTCCGGTTAAGGTTTTTATGCATTTAGTAAATCTGTATGCAATATTTTTAGAATTATAAACAATTTTAAAGTTGTTTAAGTGCCGCTAAGCCTTTTTTTTTTTTTTTTTTTTTTTTTTTTTTTTGATGGCGGCCATTGATTGTTTACATTTGAAATAGTAGACTAGTGGATTTGTTGCCAGTCTAGAGAAACTTAGCTTCACAACAACAAAGATAACGTCTTCATTTATTATTGCCAATTAAATCATGCTTAATCCTTTCTGGAATTTTTTCGAGGAAATAAGTGTAACTGTTTGTTTTTTGTTTTGTTTGCTTAATTTCTTTTATACATCATTCTAGCTTTATTATAGTATTTGAATAGAACATGTGGCAACGATTAGATAATTCTTTAAATGATATAAATTTTGTGCATTCTGAGTTATAATATGAACGAAACATAATACTGTTAAGTAAACCTAGCGCCAGAGTGTCGCTATGGTAAACAAAGTGAATTTTAAAGAATGCAGTTATTCTATTGTGGTTTATGCGCTGTCGGCGAAATAGGTTTAATTTAATCTAATAAGTTTAAATGAAATTCAAGAAAAAATGCGTATAATTTAATATTCCGTACTAGGAAGTCATGTGGTGTACACATCAGATTTTTTTAATTTTAAGCATGACTGAAAATAAAACAGACACTCTCTTAAAAGGCTTAATTCTTTTTATAGTTACATTTTAATCGTCCTATAAAAAATAAAATCCTAAATATTCTATAAAAAATAAAAAGTACTTAAAGATGATAAAACGTAAAAAGAATGTGTATATAAAGGTAAAACACAAGGCATACTCATACTGTATGTAAATTTATGCCATTTATAAATTTTAACAGTATTCGTAACATAATCAATAAAATTTTTAAGACTGAGTAGCTGATTTTGCGAATACCAGCATTGACTGTACCACTGTTCAAATTTTATCAACGATAATATAATATTTTATCAATAACTACTGTAATTCATTTGCAGATTACGCTTGGAAATATATTATAGTGCGATGTGCATAAATGAAGCAGAATCGAATTATGATATAAACTGTCAGCAAACCTTAACTAAAAAATTTCCATTTCAGATCTTAAACGTAAGAAGTTAAAAAATTTTATTACACGCATTTAACTATTTTTTTTTTTTTTCATTTTATGGAATGTTTTAACAACATATTAATACATAAATACTATATTCAGCTTTCCAATAAAAGTACTTCTAGTTTTCATTCATTAATTTTATAAGGTATTTCTTCTAATTCCCTGGCGTGCCTTCGTGATGTAGTCGTTCTGCATGCTGGGCCGGTATTCCAGAGGTTTCGATTCCCAGCGAAGGCGTTTGCTAATTTTTCATCACTCCTGCTTTAAAAAAATCCTAATGTCTCTACAATTTAATTTTCGAAATATTTGTTCTTCAGTAGCGTTCCTCTCATGGAAATCCAGGATACTTCCCTGCGAAGAATATTATAATATATATATATATTTTTTTTTTACGTTTGGGTAAATTTAATACAACCGCGTAACTGTTTTTACATACTTTATTATATTTTGCGCATTCTGAGTTATAATATGAACGAAATATAGTACTGTTAAGTGAATCTAGCGCCAGAGTGTCGCTATGATAAACAAATACTAGAGTGAATTTTAAAGAATGCATTTATTCTATTGTGGTTTATGCTCTGTCGGCGAAGTAGACTTAATTCAATCCAATAAGTTTAAATGAAATGCAAGAAAAAATACATATAATTTAATATTCCGTACAAGGAAGTCATGTGGTGTACACATCAGATTTTTTATTATTTACGTAAACTGCAAAAATGAAAGCCGTAATGTTACTTTTAAACGTATTTATAGTGTATGTACAAGAAGTACTTCGGGTTATTTCCTTAAGTTAGACTTATATTAGATATGACCAGATATTAAATGATAATAACAACATTAAAAAATGTAATAATAATTATTATTAACTATTAATAATAATAATTAATAATTAGTATTATTATAAATTTTATTCTTTAGAAATAAATTATTACCCTAAAAGTATTTATAACATCAAATATTATTCTAGATATTAAAAATTACTCTAATATTTATTTACAGTAATCAGATAATATTCCAGAGAATAAATATTATTCGAAAAAATAATTATAATAAAATATTTTTTTAATGATTTAGAATATATTTTATTATAGATTATTATGTAGATTACAAAAATGAAAGCCGTAACGTATGTTACTTTTATGCTTATTTAGGCTCTATAGACAAAAATTTCTTCAAATTATTCACTTAAACTAATATGACCAGATGTTAAAAAGTAATTAATAATAATGTTAATAAATATAATAATAACACAAGTCAGAATGCTTTTGGATGTTTCTAGAAATATATTTGGTGCTGATTTCAGAAATATAGTTCCCCCCCTATCACGTAAGATTTTTTTTTTTAAATAATTGAATGATTTATATGAAAAATATGCATTTGCGATTAATTTTCTTTCTAATAGATGGCAGCACTTTACTTGTTGCTAAGTTTTAAGTAGTTATTTTTAATGCTTTTAATTAGAATTGTATGAATTATGGCTTCTGCTAATTACGCGAATGATGCCGATACATTTTGTCATATTTGTGGAAACTGTGCACCAGTAAAACAAAGGCAAAATATCACAGATTTTGTTAAAAATGAAT